TTTAAAAGCATCTTAAGTAAAGGTCTTTCTTAAAATGATCTAGAAACGCTCCTTTCTTCGAGCATTAAGTTAATGCTTCTTTCAATCTATGTTCTCATACTAAATATAAAAAATATCAGACGAAATCGATATCATATCTTTGGTTTGACTAGATTTTATTAAGAAAATAATTGAATTTAATATTCTTTATTATTTAAAAACCATATAAGAAATACTCAACACTTAATTCATAAAATCAATATTTGTAAAACAATTAAGAAAGTTTTAAAAGTATCGAAAAAAAAATTTACCCTTCATTTCTTCTCCATAAATTTAAGGCAAATAATCATTCTCTAACAAAACTCAATATTTCAACTAAAAAAATAGTATAGAAGACAGTGATAAAAAAATTTTTTAACTTCTTTTTTCAACTCTCTTTCACATTTTTTAAAATTATCTAACATAAATGGATAAGTTACATCAAAAATATTTAATTAAATGTCACTCTTCTTTTAAAATACAATCTATCAAAACCATTGAACATAGCATTCCTTATTTTATCCTTATAATATACAAGTGTAGTTACATATTATGTGTGTGTATGTAACAGCAGAAATAAAAAAAAAAAACAAAATTGTCGCATTCTTTTAAAAATTACTCTATAATAATTTAAATTATTGTGCAACGCAATGCATAATAATTTCAATCTGAAAAGAACTTGATGAAGATAAATTGCTTTAAATGTGCGCTGATGAAAAAAGTTAAGAAGATTAATACGACCTTAATAATGACTTACAAATAATTTACATAAAAATATTATATCCTTTTCGCATACAGACGCTCATCAAGTGTATATAAGACAGAATTTCCTTCTAATTTAACTTTAAATAAGAAAAGACTATATAAAAGTGTCATATTATATGACTGCCTATAGCCTACACATAAATGTATATTCATATCTGTATTAGCTTCTTCATAAGTTGTTATAGTATGAAATGATCCTTATGAAGAACATGTTCTTTAATTAATAAATTCATTATATAATTTATCTCTGATGGCAAACTTTTGATTTTGTCTTCAAAGGAAATATAAAATTATAACGGTTTTTATCTAAAAATAAAAATTATTTTAAGATCAACACCAGTGTTTACGGAGATTTCAAAATCTGTTTGCAATATACTAAAAAAATATTAGTGGATGTGAGATCTTGGATATGCTTAAGATCTTTTGGATAAGCCAAAAGGATTTTGGATAAGCCAAAAGGGTATACCTTTTCAAAATTCATTGAAATTAAATATTTTTACTTCAATACCTTAATGTAGGTTTTTCGTCATTCTATCTGTTCATTACATTATATACATTCTTCGCATGGGAAGAGGAAGAAACTACAGTTCTGGCATAGGTGCTCATTTCTAGTGTACGTAGATCAATTTTTAAAGGTTAATTCACTCGAACAATTAAATTCCATACTCAGAACAAAAAAATCTCACATTCAAAATGAATTAGAAGAAAATCTATAATAATTTAGGCAAAATAGTCATGCAGGATAATGTTTGCTTTGAACAGCTTTGCTAAAAGATAATTATAAATTTACAGTTCCGCTGATAGCGCTCTTAAAAGACACATTTAAGGTATATACTTTGGGCACAAATATACGATTTGGCAATATCTGTCCATCTATCTTAAAAAAATTCACGGTTTATAATGTAACAAAAAAATTTTTTAAATAATGGAAAGTAATCAGGTCAATAGTCTTACAATTTTAAAAATTTTTTGGCTATATGGCTTAAGTTAAGTACGGTACTCATTAAAATTCTCAATTTTCCAGGCCTTACAATTGGTTTGATTCACCACGTCTCGCTTAATTTCTGAATTTTAAATTTTAAAATTGTCAACCAAATTTCAAGTTAATTAAAATAACAAAAAAAAATGGTTATCTCGGAAATATTCGCAGAAAAACCTTCAATTTTTAAAAGGAAAAAAAATGTAGTATGAAATGATGCATGAAAGGAGAGAGAGGGGGAGAAAAATAACAAACTAATAAAAAATTTAAATTTTATATATTAACAGCAATTTAATTCATGTATCAGGTCTTCTTCCTCGAAAGTAATAAACCAATTTTAAGAGGGCCAAATAAAAAATTTAAGAAAAAAAAGGAAATAAAAAAAATTGTTTTCGGGAAATTTAATTTCTCCCAAAAGAATTTAAAAAGGATATTTGAGAAAATATTCATGTTTGTTTTTCTTCCGTTTTTTATTTTATTTTATTGCTTGAAAATTTTAAGCAAATTTTTTATAAATTTTCTTCTTATTTCTTTATATGTATAAATTTTATATAAATATTTAAATAAATACATACACATAAACGTACTAACATAAATTATAAATAATATTTTATACCCATTATATTTATATTGCTCTGCAAAAAAGGATACCTTTACCTTATATGCATTATGAAAAGAAAAAAAATAAAAAAAAAAAAAACAAGAACAAGAGAAACATAATATCCTTTATAATAGTTTTGTAAAATGGTAATATGGTAAAATATCTTATGTACAGGGAGAGAGAAAAGGAAGAGAAGAAAACATCAAAAAGAATTTATGTCAAGATAAAAAACGATTTACTGCTTAAAGGGATTCGTTCTCTCTTGAGTTATTATTTTTATTTTACTCTTATATTTTCTATTTTTTTCTTATTCTTTAAATTTTTTATTACAATGTTGGATTTTTGTAGAGATGAATTGAATTTTTCCTCCTGTTCAACCACATTTTCAATAACAATTTTTGGTTTTAACTTTATTAAGTCATCTTAACTGTATTATAATAGTAATAATAATCAGTTCTATCTAAATTTAAAGGGTCACCATCATCATTATCATCATCATTATCATCCTCACAAAAATTGAGCAAATAAGTTAAAAATTGAGCAAAGAGAATAAAGATTGTCTTGAATTTATTTTTATTTTTTTCTCTTTAACAAAATAAAAAATTCTTTTCTTAAAATATGAGCGTATAAGTGGGAGAAGTAAAGATGCAAATGATAATCGTATATAAATTATTTCTTTGATCCTTCAAACAGTAATATGTATGTATTAGAAATTGTTGTATTATTGTCGTGGATTATAAAAATGAAAATTGTAAAAAAATTTTTACAAATTGAAATATTTTGTTTTTTTTTTGACAATTTTTTTATTTTGTAAATCAATAAATGTTTTAATTTATTTTTGTTAATATTCCAATTCATATAAGCATAATTGAATTGTCAACACTAAAATGAAATTGTCTTTAATGATCAGTGGCGTCCAACGCTATACGTGTCATATTCAGTTGCGCATATACAAAATTAAATTTTCCATTTCCATGAAAATTGAATAAATTAAATTTTTCAATCATAAATTTTATGAAATTTATGAATCAAAATTATTTGAACAAAGGTTCAAATTAAGAATACCCCTAACCCTAACATAACGAAATAAATTAATCCAATATATTTTTCATTAAAAATACTTTTCATAATTATTTTTCACATGAAGAATGAAATAATGAGATTTTCCAAAATAATTAGTAATTGAAGATTCAATTGCATGAATTTGTTATGTTAACTGTCTTCAGAATCGGGTTTTTAGTGTAAATAAACAATTACAACGATTTTTAATTAGAAGATTTTTAAAGTACTAAGGTCCAAAACTTTTTAATCTTTTGTGAAGCTGAATGTAGCCGTATACAATAAAATTCTAATTATCGACTTTGCCTAATTAATAAAAGCTTTAACTTTTCCAGTCATAAAATCTCGAGTCAAAAATATGGAGTCTTCAATTTTGAATGTAAAAACGAGTTTCCTTTGAACATCACTGTTATTCATATAGTTCAGTTAAATTGTTAATAATTTTTATAACTTTAAAGCAAAATAAAAGAAAAAAAAAATAAAAGAAACCTTACCTGTTAGTTATTTTCTACTTTCTCAAAACAAGCTTTTGATTTAAATATTAATCTTTTAAAAACCGGCCTGTTTGCATAAACCCTTTCATAATGAAAATGCATATTGTATATTGACAATTGAGATGGTGATCCACCGGTACCTAAAACATCTATTGTGCCTTTCCTTACTCCTACGTAAACGCCCAGTTCTTGCCTATAAACTTCTCACTTGCTCCCATGCTTCGGTTACCGAGTAAGTTTTTCTGGAGCAATATCTCAAATTTACATGCCACAACCAGTGTCTGTGAATGCATCTAAGCCTGGTTGAAAATGAAATTATTAAAATGCTTGAATTTGAAATACCTAAAAGTAAAATAGTACGTTAGCATTTAAAATGGGAAACCTTCAAATGAAAAAATATATTTTATATTTAAAATTATAAAAAATATAGAGCTGTAAAATTTTGTATTTAAATGCAAATAATAATTCCATTTTGTCTATATTAAACTCTTTCAACTCTTTAATACAATAAATTTCCCTAATTTTTGTTTTATTATTTTCATGAAATTTCTATACTTATTTTAATAACCAGCATTTGCTTAATGGTACCGCGATCATATTACAAGGAAAAACCGCCAAAATAATTTAAGAATCTACCATTCTTATATAGTTTCGACGCGATATGAACAGAAATATAAAAACCTGTACATTCTTTATAATATTTTCGTATCTTTATTTATGATCTATGAGAAAAATAACAAAATAAAAAATCATTAAAAATAAAAACACATATGTACACATGTTTAAAATCTCATAATGTTTTAGGATATAAAAAAAAATATCCTAGAATTTACCAGCTCACTACATTTTCCTTGGATTTTCAATTATTTTATGCATGAGAGATTTTCTTTTTTTCTTGTTTAATTTTCTTCCTTTTTTTTTGTTTTTTTATGTTTTATTCTCTTTGTTCATTTTTCTTTTCTCTCTCAATAAATAAATTTACATTTCTTTTTTTCGAAATGAATTTTTTATTCATTTTCGGTGTTCGTTGTTTTTTTATTAAATTATTATTGTATTTTCTTATTTTTTTTCTTTTTCATTTCAGATCCTTTTATATCCTGAAGAAAGTTGGGCACGTAGTGCTGCATCAAGCTATTGGACTATAAAACCATCATGGTGGCAACCAAATCGTTGTAAAGTTACCGAAATAACTGGTTCGCAACGTTATTCAACAAAAGCTAAAATGTTATGCATTGAAAAAGGTTCTTTACTTGTTATGGGTTCCTTTAAAAAGAAATTAGGTGATTCAGATTTTAAATTATATTTAAGCTCAAATATAACAATGGAAGATTATAATATGGGTTATTGTTTAACGGGTTGGGTAGAAAGACGTTGTTCACAAACGAATACATTTCAAATGACACATTTTGCTGTTATTAAAAGGCAATGGCCGCCGTCCATTAATTCAAATACTAATGCTAATACAAATGATTCAAAATCAAATTAGAAAATAAATTAAATATTTGCATAATATATAGAAAATAATTTAGAAATTTATGCTAAAAAAAAATATAGGAAAATAAGATTTTATGAATGTATTTAAGAAAAAATAAAATTAACATTGAAGAGATTGTAATTTTGAATTGGTAAAAAAAACATTTTGAGGTTTAAATTAATTTTTTTGACACAAATAACAAAAAAAATTAAGGTTTTTTAACATTCAATAAAATACTGAACAGAAGATCACCTTTTTTATAACAATATGAATATTATAGGTTCTAAAAACTTAATTACTAAAAAATTCACACAAAATATTTAATGCATTCCTTTTTAAGGAGGAGAACATTCCAACCGTACAACAGTTTTGCTTTATTCGTAACAGTCTTAAATACACACCGGTTTTTTAAAAGTACATAGTAACCAGTGGGATCTTTTCCATTAAATCTCAAATATTAAACATCAAATCTTTTGAACTTTCACATTTCTCTAAAATAGTTTTTACTTCTTCCAGATATATAGCTAGCTATAGTTCAAGCTTAAACGAACATTAATTTTGCCGATTAAATTCCGAAATTGTTTAACTAAATTTTTCAAACACGCGAAAAATCAAGCATTTCTTCGATATATTCTTGAATTATCAAAATATTATTATCACATCGATCCTTCAATTCAACTAATGCTCTTTCATACGATAGTGCAGACTTTCCAAGCGAATTTATTTCGAACAACATAGGACCAGTCAAACTCCTTTTTAAATGTTTGTATTGCTCTATGGTTTAGAATGAACTACCAATACATTGTAAAAATTTATTGAAAAATAGTTTCAACTTCGCAGTATAAACCCTCCGTATTAGCGTGTAAACACTACTTACATCATCCAAAATTAAATTTTTACTTAAAATGCTTGTTGAGAAAGAAATGCTTCTCAACAACTTGCTGACATAATCATTTTCCGACTTATTTGAAAATTTTACAAATTAAATTAAAAGAAGAAATGAAAACTAAGTTTAACGTTTGGATTTCTTCACCAATTATGTGAAATTGGGATGAATTTCTTAACAATGTTAATTTGCAAATAAAATTTCAAAAAAAATAGCTAGAAAAAACAATTTTGTACACTTTGATCTTCTTTTGAATCAAAGATAGGAGTGATTTGTTTCAAAATTTCTGAACCACCCAATTCACACATAGTCCATCAAACGATAAAAAGAAAAGTAAATCTAATTGCAAAAAACAAAAATATTATTTAAAATTATATTCAAAGGTTTTGTTTTTAATAATCTAGACAAAAATACAATCACTTCAAGCAAGATAAACAAGCTTTCTAGAATATAAAAAGGTAAAAAATCAGAAAAAAAAAATAGATTTTCAATTAATCAAATAATTTTGGGGTCTTAATTTTGCTTTTGTTTTGTTTATGCTTCAAATTCAAACAAAGATCTTATAATATTCATTAATTAGTATTAGTCAACAAATAATTTCCTTTATTGCCTCAATAGATTCAAAACTTCTTCATTATTTCATATTGCTTTCAATGAAATTTTTCCTCTCCATTGCAAACAACAACAAAAAAACATTTCTCTCAGACCGTAATTAATTAAAATTTTATTTTTATATCATAAATGAAATTTTTGAATTTAAATTTTTTACAAAACAAGTATACAAAATATATAGAATATAAAAAATTGCTCACCCATTATAATAAAATGGCCTCTAATTTATTTTAGAAAATTATTATAAATTCCGTATAGCTATTTAGGAAAATCTCCATATGAAAGTTTCCATTTTCATTCCATTTTTACTACAGAATATAAAATGATAAATAGTCTAAATTGTATTTTTGGGTATTTTAATATTTAAACAAAACATTACACATACATACATACATTATACATGATTGTCTGTACATATACAGAAATGCATATGAAATGCCTATATATCCTTGAAGAGTTTATATAAAATCGAAGTCCTCATTTAAAAAATTAAACAAAAAAAAAAGAACAAGAAAAAAGAAAAGCAAAAAATATTGGTATTGGTATTTTGTATACCATCGAGTACAAATTATTTGAAGGAGAAATCAATTAATTTTAAATGAATTGAAATTAAGGCTAGATTATTCAATAATTAATTTAAAAAGATAAATTCAATAATTATATTTGATTAAGATTTGAAAACGAATAAATGACTGAAATGTTTCAAATTAATTAAAAATGAAAATGTGTCGGGTATTTTCCAAAAAAAAAAAAAAGAACAAAAACGAAAACGATTAACATGATAATTAATTTAAATTTTAAACACGAAAATAACTTTTCCAACTACATTAACTCGACTATCTAAAAATAAACTACTTTTATTGTAATCTTTTCACTCCTATATACATGCAAAAGGAACGTGTCGAAAGGAACTTCATTTATTAAAATGTAAAATATTTTTGTTCTAACAAACAATTACGCTGCAATTGAAGCAGTCATTTTAACAGCAAAGGCGGTAAAATTTCTTGATAATCTGCAAAATTTTTCAAAATTTAAAGTTTTTCGAGAATTCGTTTGATTAAAGCTGAATAATAAAATGTTAACATACCCAAAATTTCCGATTTTAAATAAGATGCAAAGAGTGATGCAAATTCATTCCTTCAAAGCTTAATATCAACAATCAACTGCAAAAGAAATCCAAAATCAGTCTGGAGTTGATCCAGACATATTCATGCTGTTCATTCGTGCTGTTTTCGATAAGTCATATTATTTTTAATTTGAGTGGATATGAAATTTATGCTACTCATTTATGCATTTGCTCTTTTATACTTTATTTTGTGACTCTCGATAAATAATTCGAGCATTCCTTGAATTATTTATCGAGAGTCACAAAACACTCTTTAAAAAGTTATAATTTGAGTCACAGACCCCTATTACATATCATAATAAAATTTTCATTTTAATTGTGGTATGTTAAATCAACTTGCCGCTATTCAAAGCGGTAATTCGCAATCAGGAAACATCATTTTCAATAAAATTTAAAGAGCGGAATCTATAAAACGGATCTAATAAATTTCTTTAATGTATATGGCATTGTACAGAAGAAAATTCCATATTCAACTAATTTGAAAGAAGAAAATTAAATTTTGTAATAAAATATGAGATCAAACCGAATAATATAGCGAGCACCTCCGAAAACTTATTCCAAACATTTTTTGTGTCTCTTATACTAATAAACTCTATCCTTAATAACTCTCCAGTATCCTTTTTCTCCCTCAATTCTCTTATCAAATGATGACAATTTTGCTAGGCAACCTTATATCCGAATTTTGTGGGCATAAATGATGATTGTTTTGACTCTTTCTTGCAATATTAATTTGCATGACAATTGACGCTTGGGCATTTGATATACAACCAATTCAGAATTTTTTTTAATTATATTTCAGACGCAAAACAAACTATGTAACTCTATACTAATGAGCTGCTAAATATTGTGCTTAAGAATATTATATAACGCCACAACGGAAAACATTATTTTTCTACTAAATCCATTAAATTCCTTTAAATAATGTTTCAGGTATAAAATTTATTCCACCTAACAATAAAAAATAATTTAAATTCTTAATCAAATGAATAGTTTTGCTTCTCTACCCTAAACATTTTGTATTTTGCATTGCAATAATGTCACCAAAGCGACTCTGTCAAGTATTCAGAAAGTTATAATTTTTTTTTATAATACACTAAATGTTGTATAAGCTCAATGACCATTCACTAATCTATAGATAAATGCTGATAATGAGTAATACTTTATGAAAATTGAATTAATTTTAAACTATTTGAAAAACTTATTAAAATTTTCATTCATTTTTATAATAAAATGAGGTCAAAATAAAATAAAAAAAAAATTATAATGAATATTTGCATAATTGTGTTGAATTGATATCCGATTTTTCATTGTACGTGCAAGTATTGGTGTATACAAAAACATATTTTCATTAAATACTTGAAAATTAAATAATTTATAAAATTAAATATGGTAAAAATTGTTATGCATGAATTTTTTATTTCTCACTTTATAATTGGTATTTGAAACTAAAATAATGTTTCTTTTTCGATAATTGGTTTTAATTTTAAAAGGCCATCAAACCCAAATATTTTAAATTTATTATTCAAGTTAATTTTTCATAAATGTTCAAAAAGGGAACGGATTTAAAATTAAATCTGTAGGACCATTGAAAACTATGCAAAAATTGGTTCCAATTCCTGACAATTTTCGATTGTACAGTTTTCAAAAGTATCAAATAAGTAGGCTCACTAGAACGATATTAAGTTTCAGGTTAACGACGCGTTATTCTCAAGAAATAAAATTATACTTAAAATTTTTTTATTACTATTTAAGAACAGTTTTAATGAATCTTATCTTTAATAAATAAAATTGCGAATTCAATTCTCTTTTCATTTTCCAGAATGCAGTTACTTGCTAGGTGGAACATTTTTTTTGAATCCTCTTCCCTATATCACTATAGTTTATTATTTTTTCCCCATTATTCGAATTATCTTTGATATTTTTCCTTACTTTCTTTTAGAAAGTCTCAAATGATATCTGATTTTATAATTGTGTAGAATTTTCGAAATTCATAGAAAACACAACAATTTTTTAGTAAATGAAATTTTCATAATAAATTATTGAAGTTGACTCATGGTTAATGGATGAAATTTCCTTATACTCGTAGGTATAAGTTAAGATTGTAAAATCTTAAAATAGACCTTGTAGATCATCAAAATTAAAAGTGTTTTGCAGTATTAAAAACAAAAATACTGCCCAATTATTATTGAGCTAATTTTATAATGTTTTCCCTTAAATTTGTTTTAAATTTCTAAATATTAGTGTCAAAAGTATAAAACAAATGTTTCAAATATCAAAAATTACAGTGAAAATTTTTGAGTTTACTGATGTCGATTTATTTTTCCAATTAATTTCTCAATTCAAAAATGCTGAATTTAACAAAAATTATTCTGCGACAGCATCTTATATTAAAAAAACAAAATGTGCTATATAGAAAAACGGTGTCATAATCACTTCCAAAATTTACACTTGAAGATTGAGAAGAAGAATTTTAATCGTATTTGGAAATGAGGCTGTAAAAGGTTATTAGAATAAAAAACATGATAGACGAACACAGTATTTATTCAAAAATATTGCA